TTTCACTGATTTTATCGATTTATAGCAATTTCAATGACTTATAACGGTTTGTAACAAGTATATGATAATAAAATATCGGATTCATTTTTATTCAAAACTGGAAGATACGTTGTGTATGCATATTTACAAAGAAGAGAAGGGAGCATATACTTCGTAGATTTTTTTTTTCACATTAACACTTTTTTACCTGTGTCAGAATTAGATAAAAAAATATTGATATAAAAAATATATCACTCTGATATAGCATTAGAAAACAGTGGACAACTACCTATGCCTGTATTAAAAATTAATTTTATTTACGTTTATATATATTTTTTTTTCTGGTGGATACATTCAATCACTCTCTGCGGTGTGGTTCGGTTGTTTAGGAAATCTGCGTCACCTTCCCCCTAATACACGCCCCACATCGAGGATGACGATCACGCCCAGGATAAAGGAAAATGTTATGTGTTTATCTAAGTTTCGAGGAGGATACATTCAAACTATTTCTTATCTTGTAGTTCAGTGAACTAAACCGCGGGAAGCTCGTTCGGTCTTCCTCTCCTCACCACACAGACAATTATAGTGACAATCACGCCCTCTAAAATTGGGTTTTTATAAGCAAGAAAAAAATAAATTGTGGGGAGGTAACAGTCGGATCCCAGGCCCACTTTGAAAAGTAATGACTGCACCTGAGAAGATTATGCATAGTCAGAGGCCCTATCGCCCGAAGTTATAGACGAAATTTTTTGCATGACTATCGGAGAAGAAGTAAATTGCAGAGAGGTAATAGTCGGATCCTGAGACGACTACATATTGAAGATACGGTTAGATTGTGTATTTTCATGGACCAGACAAATCACCTTCGTTAAAGCACAGGACTATCATGGCTCTGTTGAATTCCACGAACCCGTGCAAATAACTCGAGCAATCGTCTTATCGACATGAAGACAATCTAGTGCAAGGTGGAATTATCGAAAAAATTGGGTTTTATACATACATGCGTGTGGCTATGTCATCACACCATATCCGGTAATTAATTACATTTGGCGCTACGATAATTCGACACGAAATTGCTATATTTGACACCGTAATCATTCGACAGCACTTTCGAGACCTACAAATTTAGAATAGACGTTTCATAAAAAACTATACGGGGGTAGTTCCACGATTGACACGTATATAATTCGGGGCCGTGAAGATTCGTGGGACTGGTTTACCTAAAAAAGAATGTAATTAATAGCGCATTATTTTAGACTGTGGGCTTCAAATTATCTATAAATATTTATGTGCTATTTTAGCAAAGAGGTAGTGGCTTAACAAAAAGCCATAAATATTCGTACATCCCAACCGATTAGATTGTTCAGTCACAAGCATTATGCGGGATGCTCGATCAACATGCATCACGATTTTTGGAACTAAAATTCGATATATTTAGCAGGTTTGTTTTCGTAAATACATATGTGCGCTATTTTAATGCAACCACGTTCTACGTATCAACTGTTGATATATATAAATTTATTTCTGTAATAAGAGCAAAATTTAGAATTTTAAATTTCCGAATATTTCTAATTACCCATGTATTAAACTGCGACTTTCCGTGATCGTTCCGTGATGGCGCATATAAATTTAATAAAAATTTTCCGTGATCGTTCCGTGATGGTTCGTCTAATCATAGGGATTAAGATGGCCCGCATTAAATTTTATTCGGTGTTACCTTCATGCAGAATTAACTCTCACAGTCGATTTTTTTATTAACGAATATTACGAATAATGCGAATAATGTCTAGACCCTTTTCCTTACTCTATACGAACCCGCGATAAGAATGAGACTTAAAAAGGCAATGAGTATAACGTTCTTTATCAGTAGTTTTGTTAAAATTCATATGTTATAGAGATTTTGAATTCTCAGATCTTGGAAGATCTAACCCTACTTCTTATTTTACAGGAGCGATCGTCGAATCTAAGGGGTTGAAGTTGGGTTAAACTCTGGTTAAAGTCGGGTTGAAGTCAGGTTGAAATCGGGTTGAAGTCTGCACTTCAGAAAATAAACTCTTATCATCTGCATTTTTTTCTCATATTTATTAGATAAAGAAAAGCTAGGGCAAGTAAGCTAGATAGGTTATTATCCGCAGATTGATAGATAAAGGGTCTCCAAAATGAAAAATGAATGTCTGGTTGAACTCTGGTTGAACTATGGTTGATGTATAGATAATCTCAAGGGTATCATATGATTTGACGGTCCCATGGGTCCGCACGTATAATTTATGCATAAATTCCGTATCTCCGACGGCCTCTGGAAGCCGTCGGAGTATAAACTGATTTTAATGCAGTAATGTTTTTATATTTTTATAATAATAACGATAGCGACGTCACGTCACTTGATATTCAGGTTTTTCAGTTCGAATGTGCGATAAAAACTTGACTGGCTTTAATAATCAATGGCCTGCATTAAATTTTATGCGGTGTTACTCTCCTGCAGAATCATTTCTCACGGTGTGATTTTTTTTATTAATGAATATTACGAATAATACGAATAATATCTAGACCCTTTTCCTTACTTTATACGATCCCGCGATAAGAATGAGACTTAAAAAGGCTATAAGGGCAATGAGTATAACGTTCTTAATCAGTAGTTTTATCAAAATTCATATGTTACAGGGACTTCGAATCTCCACCATCTCCGAGATCATCAGATCTAAACCCACTTTAAACAATCGTCGATTATAGGAGGGTTAATTTCACCAGAAAAAATAACAGAATAGATTCAATGTTTGGAAGTTATGACCGAGTGGAGTTGCTTTATGGAGAAAAAAAAACTGGCGTTAGACTTGAGCATTGTAATTAAAAATCGTGTATTTTCTTTCTGGCAGGTTCTCAGACCTAACGAATATGAGGTATAAAAATAAGCAGATTTGCTCACAAGGTAAGTTAGCAATAACGTTGCTTTTATATATTTTTTTGGCTTAACTTATTTAAAATTTACTCTCAAGGTCTGGTTAATATACATTGTTTGTTATATGTTTTTTTCGAAAGCGAATTTCTACTTACTATTTATTTTTATGTTAGAAAGCGAAAATGGCAAATATTACTTTAAATTATCGTGTCAGCAGTGATTATTCAATTAATATTTACCCAAATACGACAGTTGCCAACCTTAAAAATATAATTAGAAATAACGTTCCTTTTACCGATTTTGATCTCTATGTAAATGATACCGCTTGAGATGTAAGAAAATATATGGATCTGCAAAATATAGTTTCACAATATTTTGATATTAATAGACTGGGAAATCATATCCATATTCTTGTTTATGAAAGATAATTTTTTTTTTTATATGTATTCGCACTAAGTAATTGCGATATATTTTTTATTTGTATATTATGTTGTCATCGTGGCAATATAATTTTTTATAATAATAAAGGGAGAGTGTCCGCTGGGCTCCCAATTTTTTATTTTTACGCGATAGTATGAACAAGTATTGATTATCAGTTATACTATTATTTCGATTTTTATTAGCACCGCTAAAATCTAATATACGCTAATCAATTTTTTATAAGTTACATTACCGGTTCTTAAATCATAGTAATAATCTACATTTTCTTCATCATCAGAAACCATCATGTCTATATCATTTATCTTATCATTATCAGAAAATGATACGTCTTCTTCAGAATCATTGTCATGGCTACAATCACTATCATAGTCTGTCTAAACTTCATTAGTTCCTTTCTCCATTGACGAAGGCATGGTATCATCATAGTCATTAGCTTTGGGCAAATTATCTGGACCGATTACTTTGAAATCACCTAAAGAATTAGATACAGTTACTTCAGAAGATTTAATCATATGCATATTACTTTTTATAACGCCAATGATCACTTTTTGGCATTCATCTATATCAGTAGGCTGTTTAGGAAAACTATTTATAATACTCTGAATTTGAACATCACTTAGACATGAAATAGCATATGTGCTATAGGTAATTCATTTGATCTTATCTATCCCTATCCTTGTGAATAGTGTGTAAATTTTTTGGCTCTGAAGGTTTTCTGACGTAAGTTTACATCAGTAATGTTGGGAAGAAAAAACTTTATTTCATTATACACCAATGTTCTCGCTGATTGGTCATCGATATTTTTCATACCTTTATAGTCTTCAACCCGATTCTCATATGCTTTATAGAAACAATACCAGCATAGATTCTCCTTTTGCCCGACCTTTATTGCCATGTTAAATAAATCAGCTATACTTTGCATTGCAATTTTATTAGATCCAATTAAAATCGTCTCAAGAGGGAATTCAGGAATTTGAATATCAAATGAGCTATGTTTTTCGATATCATCATCTTTGGTAAAAACGGATAGCTCATGTCTCAAACCTTGCTCCACTTTCTGATTGTATAGAATTTTTGTTTTTTCATCCATAGTGACCAAGAATTACTATCATAAGAAACAACATTCGCTGAGTGCTCCACACTTATTTTGTTCTGTTTTTCTTTCTCTATCCCGTGCGAATTGTAAATACTTGATTCTTCGAGCGTTGAGCTTTCCCCTTCAGAAGATGTTGGAGACATTAGTTCTTGAGTTCGAAGTTTCTTTTCCCTATTCCTCTCTCTCATCAGATTACTAACCATTTTCTTGTTTTCCGAATTCAAGAAAGAATCTATCTCTTTTTCTTCCAATGATTTTGGATATCTTTTGCAAGGTTGAGGTAAATTGACAGGTGACACCTTTGGTATCAGTTCTTCGGGAACAAAATCATCTATTTCCCTATCTGATACCTTTGCTATCCCTTCTATTGACTTGGTGTCGGCATTATTTTGTTGGTCCACTACAGAGTTGGATAAATCAACAGTTGATACTGAATTATCTATAGATAACTACACCTCTGCTATCGCTTCCTTACCATTCTGTGTCTGACCATTCACAACAAAGGAAGTCTGTTCCACTATTGCAAGTCTAGCTTCAAGCTCCATGTTCTTTTGTTCTAGTTCCTTGACTCTGACATCACATATTGCATTCTCCTCAATAATTTGCTTCAACTTCGCATTCTCAGCCTCAACCTTAGCAAATTTCTTTTCAAGTTTAGGAATCTTATCATTTTCCTTTCTAAGCTTCGTAATCTCAGTTAAGAGTTTAGCATTTAATTCTCTTAATGAATCAATGGTGTGAATATTTTCCATTATTTTTATAAAATACGGGTATATTCAAATTTCAGATTAATAAAAATAACGTGCGCGTTACTTTTTGTAACGCAGATCATTTTTGCCATGAAAAAAAATTTTTATTAATATATGTGAAAAATAAATACAAATGTTCGGGACTAGCCCGTGATATATATTATTTTTTGATATATATCGATAACAATACAATAAAATAAATTCACGAAATATACATGTAAAAGTAAACACGATTATATATACAAATCAGCAGGAATAGCTTTATTAATATGTAAATTATTCGGGATCTACTATTTTTTGTGGACACTAAAATCGTTTCTGTCAGAAACTATCTACTCTATCATATTTTTTTAATCTTGGTCCTCTTATTAGATGGAAAATTGTCAATATTAACTCGATCCTTCAACAAATAATGATTACTACTTCGGAGAAATCAAAATTTCCTTTAATCCCAACTTGGCGAAATCAAGGTAATTTGATAATCATAACAATATACCAGTGATAAGGTGCCAATTGATGGCAAATCAAGACCAATGAGTAAAAACACAAAACACTATACCATATATATATTACCCACCTTAAATTTTTATTGACCATTCAAAATAACGTTTTACAGCCAGTTAATGTTCAAAAACATGATATACATATAAAAAAAGGCTAATTTAGAACAAAACCTAATATCTAATTAGTACGACGCCTTTTAATACGGGTATGTTTTGAGTCATCGTCATATCTTCGGACTTGATATTGGAGAATAGAGACAATACAACTGAGAATTATCTTTACTTGTTCCATAGCATTACTGTCGAATTCACAAATATGCGGACCAGATAATTCAACTGTTGGATTATCTGATGAACCTGCCCAACGAAAAAAATACCATTGTAATGCATTTGTAACGATTCCATACATTACAACAGGAACTTCTTCATCTCTCAGATCTACCTCAATTCTACGTTTTCATGACTAACATAATATGTCAGTTGAGTAAATGTAAAAAAAAATCATCATGTTAATACAATAATTACCTCTATTTCACTATGAATCTGTGCGATATTTTGTGCAGTTCCTTTTTCAAAGTCATCTTTCTTAACTTCTTGGACTAAAACAAGCACTTCTTCAATAGAAATCGAGTAATAAATAGGTCTATAAGCTTTTGTCCCATCGATCCATTTTTCGGCTTTAAGTAATAATTCTTTTGCTTCTTTTTGGACATAGGTGACTGCTGTGGACATTAAAGGCAAGATGAACTCTCGACAAGTTGATTCATTTCGATTGACAATGCCAAATGCACTCTTCCTTTTTTTAAGTTCATCAATAAGTTGGGCAATAGCCTCTTCGAAGATTGGGGTTAGATCTCAGAAGATCATCTATACTAAAAGATCGAATATCAAACATAGTTGAACCCCTTTGATGCAAGAACTCATTTAGAGCCTCACCAATTTCCCAATCACCATATGCATTCCTTCCTATAAATGAAAAGCGAATAAATATATATACAAGCTGAACTCTAACAATATTCAAAGTATTGGTGTTACCTGTTACTTAGATTGAAATATTGACTTCACGTTTACCTTTTTCATTCGGTTGAATATCCGCTATTATTTCATTGAACTGAAATTCGTTTTCTATTTGTTGTTTGTTATTATTCTCATTATGAATGAAACTATATTGAACTGTATTTAATCGCAGGGTTTGAAACTTTGATTTTGCAACATTATGAACAAGATACCAGAGCCCGCTTGTATGTGGGAAACTAGACTTAAACCATGATGTTGAAAGATTGCAACAAACAATAACTGAAAATTGGAATAAAAAAAATAAGTTATTGGTGTAAATGCAAAAAAAATAAAAAATCTTCAACTTACCGGTTGAAGTTGATAGAAGATACCGGACTACAAGTGGTGTAGTGTCAGTTGTACTCCTGGATAAGGAATTAAAGTTGGTTCCTGGTAGAAGTGGATTTATGCGGTTATTAAAGGTAAAAAATTCGACATCTTCTGGTTCAACATTCTTAAGAACTTTGAATTTTTCACGAAGAATAGGTTTAAGGCAGTCTAAGTTAAAACTACAAGTCATATAATTGTTCTGATTAATATCGACTTCTATGGCACTCACCTTCTCTTCAAGAAGCACCCACATCGTTACTATAGAACTTTAGCATTTTTTCGACTCGTTTATATTGTCATCAGTCATTTTCTGTGGCCACAGATAATATTAAAATTGGTTAGTAACTTACCAAAAACAGCATGAGTAAATGATTACATATTTACTGTGCTATATGTATATGTTTTAAACTTGAAAGAAGAAAATAGTCTTTCGTTTTTACTTGGTATTTTTGCTATATAGGAATTTAGGCATGAAAATTTAGTGATTAAATAATCTTTGAACTAATCCAAAACTTTCTTTTGGGAGAAGAAAAATTCACCTGCTAAGTTGAACCTTATATATAAGTTAGTGCCCCGTACGGTGATACAAATTAGGTAAGCATAGTCCTGCACGTGGAATTACGGAAGTACTCGTATGCGGAATTTATTCTCACATAACGGAACTATCGATATTATTACTACCAAATCGCTAATTCTGATTTATTTTTAGATGAGTCAAAGATTCGAAGCTATTATGAAATAATGAAGCTTTCACTTCTTGCTTCTTCTCTTTTAAAATTATCACATTCACATCGCTAATTTTGTTTGTTTGTTTTTTTTCTGATTTTTCATTACTATATATTATTAACAGAAAAAAATAATATACGTGGCTGATTTTTTATAGCTGTGATACAAACCTGTAAATAAATTATGCATGACAATAATGATAAGCCTCGTAAAAATTTTCCGGAACATACATCAAACGTAATTCGATTATGCAGATTGAGACAAGGTAAATAAATTTCTTAAACGAATGCATTTAAAAATCAAATCACGAATTTTATAGACCGGTTAAGTAGAAAATAATTATTAGAATAGCGAGTTTAAAGAGAGGAATCACTCGAGCCCTAACCCATAAAATGAGAGTTCCTTCCTGCTACTCTGTTATTATTAAAACTAGCTACCCATGTATTTATCTGATTAACAGTACTAATTTTACTGCCACTAATACTATTATAAAAATTTTTCACTGTTGAGATCTTAATATTTCCTCCAAGACAACGAATATCGACTATTACCGAAAAGCACATCTCATCAAAAGCATAATTCCTCGCCTTTATAAGCCGATCGAAGTGTTCTTTAAAGCAGATTCTAATGTCTCCAGTAATATCAAAAATTCCAGATAAATTGGAACTTCCAGAAGAAGAGCTTGGAGACGAATTAGTTTTAGATTCATTGGTTGAATTAGCTTCAAATTCATTGAACACACTTTGTTGATCAAAATCGGATTTTTGAACCACTGCGTAATGTTGGTTTATTTTGTTTTGGAGATCTTCGATAACAACATTAATTCTGCTAAATTCATTACAGCAGGATTCTTCGATATTATTAACTTTCATAGTTATGTTATTAACCATTGAAAAAATTTTCTGCGCCTCAGAGGCATAGCCAGCATCACGTGTATTAATTTTGGTGATTTCTATGATAAGTTTACTATTAAGTTCAGTATTAATTTCAGACAGGTGTGTGGAAAGCTCGTTGATGATTTTAGTATTAATTTCTGCAGTAAGTTTTCTATAGACATCATCAGTAAGGATTCTTTTGATTTCCGCAGTAATAGTTGTATTATTTTTTCTGTCAAGTTCATTGGCAATCTTAGTACCACGTGCAGAGAGATCATCTGCGATTTCATGCTTAATTTTGGTGACATGCGCGGAGAGTTCTTCGGAAATTTTTGCTTGAGAATCATCCACATAGTAACGATCCCCATAAATATCAGTAGACAAACGAATAAAAAAACAATGGTCAAGACTAAAAATAGTATGCTTCCTGAAAAGTTGAACAATATTAAACTGGACATGATACGGATAGAGTAATATGTATTATTTTTTATTTGAGCTTATTAGTGGATCAAATCAGAGTTTTTTAGATACTAATGATTAATTTTTTTTATAATATGCAATTCTTTTACATAGATGCGCTAGGAAAAGGAGTTATTTTATACTTTATTTCTACTACACGTGAAAATAAGAATTTAGCCGATATAATCAAAATTATGTTGCTTTATTCTGTGAATTCGTCATAATTGCATTTTTTATAATTTCATTTTTCTACCTAAAACTATTAATAACAGTCTAGATCCCAATCCGATAATAACCCGAATTTGAGGCTATTTAATAATAGGGCTTAAAAGAAAATCTGACGATTACCAGTTACGGTTTTATGACCAATTAGATACCGTAATTTAATACTAATAAAGTTGAAGTTGTTATCGAGAAATATACTGTTTATTGCTAAGATCGCACAAGATTTGGAAGATCTCTCACGTTTTTTTGCGTAACTATAAGTTATTTTAAACCCAATTCGTGCCTCTATACAAACCTACCAATGACCCATAATTGAATTTTATCATGTAGAATGGATGGTGCTATAGTACCCATTACATATCGTAGGGTCAGATCTGTAAATCACTAGCGCAATTTCCATTCTTGTCTCGTTTTAACGTCAGAGACATCAGATTGACTTGCGTAATACTAATTTAAAGATTTGTAATACGCGTACTATGCCGAATGTTCCGGAAAAAAGTTGGCAGATTAATTATTCATTGATCTATTCCCTATAGATTTGCAAAAATACCCGCTACATAACACAGACGCAGTTAAATCACATGCTCTCATCTGATGGATAAAATTCACATGAACAATGGCGCTCTTATTACTGTGAAAAATATAG